TAATTTACATTTTAAAACATTTTTATCCTTTGAACTTTAACACTTTTTAACTAAAAAATGAAAAAAAAAGATGAATTTATTTTAAAATAAAAAAAATTTAGTTGACCAAATTTTCTGGCCATTTAACATTTTCCATTGTTTATATAATTTTTTAGATATTTAAATTGTTAATTATTATAATAATGTAGGGTTTTAAAGTAATTTTTAAATAATATATGCTACTCCTTCCTTCTGAATTTATGACATTAATAGAATTTTGAAAGCCAATTAAATTTTCATACGTCTTTTAAATATTTTAAGTTATTTATTATTGTAATATATAATGTTTTTCGCTTACATGCTTCTTAAGATACTAATTAAGAAGGATGTTTAATTATTACTTTATTAAGTATTATTTATGTTTTAAGAGGCTTTTTAATTAAAAAAATTTTGTTCTATTTTATGTGTCATAATTAATAAATTTATAATCTTAAAAAATAAATACAATCACAAATTGTATTAAAGATGATAAGTATTTTGAGACAAGTGACCATAGAAATATAATTTTATATTTCTCCAAATAAATTCGTTATACATTTCATCAAAAACAAAACTTTTTTCCTATTTAACTATTAATCCCTTTTTCATTATATTATTAGCTTCTTAAAATATTTAACTTAACAATAACCACTAAAATTATCTGCCTAATTACGCACTTGCTTCATATAGCCCACTCCGAAAAAATTATGAAATTGAAAAATATTTACACAATCAAATCGTCTGTTTAGTTAATATATTGCATTATATTGATTGGTGGCCTAGAATAAACGGTACGTAATTATGTATAACATGACACGTTACATTCCCAGTGTAAAAAATCAGTGTATATAAAATTTGATAGTATAAAATTCTCTATATTTTTTTATTAGTGAATAGAATAATAATTTTTTATTTGTTTTTTTTTAAAGGAGGGAAGAAAATAATAATGCAAAAAGTAATAGCTCTGGCCTCCAAATGATCAACTACCAAGCTGGCCAAAGATGGTTGGTGGGGATCGAGAATAGAGATATATAATTAACCTAACATCGAGTTTATCTGAATTTAATATAATATAAAAATAATTTTACATATAAAAAATATTAGAATTATAATTAAATAGTACGTACGTCTTAAATATAATGAATTCAATAGTAGATAGAAACTGTGGTAGTTGAATAAATTGATCGTGCTTAAATTCTGAATACCGTCTCTTCATATGAATCATATCCCCATCAAATCATACATAAATATCAGTATAATGTTATCTCAGATCTTCTTTTTGATCTTCTATAATTTCTTTGGGGTCCTTTTTTATTTTATTCATCACTTTTTTTGGGTTTTAGGGTTTGGCCACTAATGGGTATAGAGCAAAGTTGGAAGAATGATGAATTGATGTGGTACTTTCTCTTCTCTTTTACGGGATTTTTCATTCCGTATTTGATATTCATATTAGAGCTTGTCTATTTTGAATTTGCGTTGTGTAGGCTCCATTCGAGAAAAGCGTTTCCTATCAAGAATTTTTTGATACACAAGACTCGAACTCAAGACTTTTGATTAAGAGAGGAGTAGTCTTATCCGCTAAACCATGTCCCTTTCGGGAGAAGCACTTCTTATCAAGATTTTTTTGATACACAAGACTCTAACTCGAGACTTTTGATTAAAAAAGAAGTAGTCTTATGATTTTTTTGATACACAAGACTCTAACTCGAGACTTTTGATTAAAAAAGAAGTAGTCTTATGATTTTTTTGATACACAAGACTCTAACTCGAGACTTTTGATTAAAAAAGAAGTAGTCTTATCCGCTACACCACGTCCCTTTCAGGAGAAGCGCTCCTTATCAAGATTTTTTTGATACACAAGACTCTAACTCGAGACTTTTGATTAAAAAAAAGTAGTCTTATCCGCTACACCATGTCCCTTTCGGGAGAAGCGCTCCTTATCAAGATTTTTTTGATACACAAGACTCTAACTCGAGACTTTTGATTAGAAAAGAAGTAGTCTTATCCGCTACACCACGTCCCTTTCGGAAGAAGCGCTCCTTATCAAGATTTTTTTGGATACAGAAGACTCTAACTCGAGACTTTTGAATAAAAAAAAAAGTAATCTTATCCGCTACACCATGTCAGGTTTGTGATGATGGGGTACTTTCTCATTTCAAAGGCATTAGTATTATTTTGTAATGTTTAATAAAACCTAATAAGAAAGGCCAAAACCCTAGCTAGCTCCCAAATCCTGCCATGAAAAGAAGAGAAAGCTCCATAAAACAAAGCTCATGCACATGCAACCCCTTCTTCTTAGTTCTTTCCAATGAATTTGCACTTGAGAGGGACAAGTGGTGGGGGTCATGTAATAGGCGCGTCGATTCAGAATTTTGAGAAGATAGATAAAATATCATACAAATATGCTAAGTTTAAAATTTTCAATTTGTATATGTTACTTTTGAAACTTGTTACAATTTTAATATGAAATTGTAGGTTCATAAATTGTTTTTGATGAAATTTTAGTGATTTTCTAACATGTATATGAATAGTTCATGTCGAAATAATGAAATTAATTAAACTCATAGAGGACTACTTATAAAGATACTTGATTTGATTATATAAAATTATGTTAATTATAAAATGAGAATAAAGATTTTAATGTGTCACAATATCTCTCAAGTTTCAAGTTCTGAAAAGATAAAATCCCTCGATATAAAAAATATTTTCTCTTAAATGAATCCCGACAAGTAAGGCTTGCTCAAGGCTGAAGGTTTGAGTCACGTTGATTTTTGAATATCATGGTTCTTCAATTTAATGTGCTTAATCGAAATTAAATCACATATTCAAAGAATATCATGTTGAACAACACAAATATAAATCATGTCCATCCAATTGTATTCGAATAATATTACAAGATAGGTCAAATGCAGATAACACAAAGTTATATTAATCTAGCAAAATTTGGTGAACAATTGAAAACACACACAAAATCATGTCAATTCATAGAATTTTTGTGAGTTGTCCTACAAATTTGTCATGACTTACCAAACATTAAAAAGTATTTTTTAATCTAAACTTTTTCATTAAACTTGAAAAGTCCATTAACACATAATTATCAATACTCCCTCCGCCGGAATTCTTTGTCATGTTGCGCTTATCGAAAGTCAATTCGACTAATTTTTAAAGGTAAATTAGATCACATTAATTCGATATTTTAAACAAAAAAAATTATATATATGAAAAGTACTATAAATTACAATTTTTCGCATATTAATATGATTAAAAAAATTCATCTTCAAATATTAGTCAAAGTTTTTATAGTTTGACTCTAGAAACTATGAGAAACAACACCGGACGAAGGGAGTACAAAAATATCTCTTTTATGCAAGTCACCAACAAACTCTACTTATTCACACATTTTTCAAATATATTCTGAAACACAAGTTTTCTTCGATCGAAGGTGTATTAATCATAACATCTTTATCTTTACAAAATAAAGATAAAATTTAAATAGAACTCATTTAACTTTTTAAATTTTACTTTACTGACGAAATTATACTAAATATATTATTATTATAATATGTCCACAAACTTTACTTGTCAAGCTAGCAAAGATTTTTGGTATTTGTTTAAAGCAAATGCTAGGGAAGTAGAATGGATAAAGAAATAAAGTGGGGTCAATATACTTGGCAATCAAGGTGGTGTAAGCCATGGGTTTTCAGCTGGCAAGTATGGGCATATTTGTGGCTAAAAACACAAGTTATTACTACCCTAAGATAGCCCTAGGATGGGGTCCAACATAAAATATATTTTATTATCAATTATTTGTTATAACACGTTAAAATAAATTTTGATAGTACATCGTCGGAATTGAAGTTAATAAAGAGAAGTTTTGAAATAGTGATGTAAAGTGTTTTATGATTCACAAGTTACGAGTTCAAACGGTGAAAGCAGTTTTTAATTGATGCAACATGACTAGTTGATAACTATTCATAATTATCAGGGATGGCTCGATAGTGTTAAAAAAAAGACATGTGTTTAAGACGTTCAAATTTAAGGGACCTCGTGTTTTAACAATAATAGGTTATAAGTTATTATTTTTTAACAAATATTGAATACTATTTGTAGAAAAAGTAATTTTTTTCATGAAAATGAAGGAATTATTAGAAGAAATTTGACATATTTAGAGTACTATGTCTCATGAAAAATAATTTAACATAAGAATGATTATATTATTAATCGAAAACTAGAATAAATCAATTATATAAAAGTTATTAACAATTGAAGTTTAAGACCCCATTTGATTTTAAATTTAAACCACAAACATGTTTAAGCCGCTTCTGATAATTATTAATAATAAAATAGAACTAGCTACCTCGAAAATAAGGCATGCAACGTAAAATATAGTATGTTACCGGTAATTTGTTATAACAAGTTAAAATTAATTGATAGTATATAAGTTATTTATATTTTATACTATCAAAATTTAAGTTTATGAAAAAAGTCTTGGAGTAATGATAAAGTCCCTTGCAATTTATAAATTATGAATTTCGGTCATCAATAACATTCCTTTGAAATACGACTCTTCCTTGAACTTTATACGAGCTTGTCATGTTTTGTTCATCGAGCTAACTTTTATTAGAAATATAACCTAATCCAACTTATACACGTGGACATATTTGCTATGTCCAAGTCAGCTTCCTCTATGACAACTTGACCTTCTAAAGACTTTTCATTATTCTTGAATCTTGAATATATATATATATATATATTAAAAAAAAGTGTAGTATAGTGTACTACTAATATTTTTAGTATATTGATAAAAAAAAAATAGTTTATTGAATTAATATTAAATTTTTGAAATAAAATAATAGTTGTCAGAGTTTAGCTTATGATTTGAGATGGACCCCATTTGAAAAGGCATTAACTTCCCACCTTCTATCATATGCCCCTTTCATATATCTCACTACCAAAACTTCTATTTAAACATCTTCCACCCTCTCTTTACTACATTCAAAATCAAACTACTCTTCTCTCTCTTTACTACATTCACATAGTTGATCTTGCTACCACGATCCATCGAGATTCAGATCTTCATATTACTATATCGTGTTTAAATACTCATCTATCGTCATTGTTGAATCAAATTCTGAATACAGAAATACGTTCATGTTCTGTTTACAGAGTTAGTCCTCAATATTGGAAACAAAAACAAGCCCGTGTTCTGCTTTCAAAGTCAGTCGTCGAATTATGGCTAGCTTCAATGACCATGATTTATTTTCTAGTACTAGTAGATGTGTATGGGTAAATGGTCCTGTTATTGTAGGTGCAGGGCCATCAGGACTAGCTGTTGGTGCTTGTTTAAAAGAACAAGGTATCCCTTTTGTAATCTTGGAGAAATCAGATTGTATTGCATCTCTATGGCAAAAAAAAACTTACAATAGATTAAAACTACACCTCCCTAAACAATTTTGTCAATTACCCAAATTTCCATTTCCACAACACTATCCTGAGTACCCTACAAAGAAACAATTCATTGATTATCTTGAATCATATGCTAAAAGATTTGACATAAATCCAATGTTCAATGAGTGTGTTCAACTTGCAAAATATGACAAAATTTGTAAATTGTGGAGGGTGAAAACTATTTCACCAAATGGATTAGAAGTTGAGTATATTTGTCAATGGCTTGTTGTGGCAACAGGGGAAAATGCTGAAAAAGTTGTGCCAAATATTGAAGGATTGAAAGAATTTGGAGGTGAAGTTATTCATGCTTGTGATTATAAGTCTGGTGAAAAGTTCAGTGGGAAGAAAGTTGTTGTTGTTGGTTGTGGAAATTCTGGCATGGAAGTTTCTCTTGATCTTTGCAATCATAATGCTCAAACATCATTGGTTTGTCGTAGCTCGGTAAGTCATATACACTAACAGTAGTATCAGCATTTCAAATTAGTAATTTCACTTAATATGGACGATTCATATCTTTCAAGTGACTTGATAATGTAAAAATTCTTTTACAGTGTCAGTATTCTTTATAACTGACAGAGTACAAGAATTTGTAAACTATCATGTCATAAAAAGTGAGACGAAACAGATAACATGTTACAACATGTTAAAATATGTTTAAGATTGGTTTGGATTCTTATGGAATTTTGTTTTTTTTTCTTCTTCTTCTTTAGGTTCAGGTGACTTGATAATGTAAAAATTCTTTAACAGTTTCAGTATTTTTTTATAACTGACAAAGTACAAGAATTTGTACACTATCAAGTAATAAAAAGTGAGACGAAACAGATAACAAGTTACAACATGTTAAAATATGTTTAAGATTGTTTTGGATTCTTATGGAATTTTGTTCTTTTTTTCTTCTTCTTTAGGTTCATGTATTGCCAAGAGAAATATTTGGGAAATCAATATTTGAATTGGCTATGTTGATGATGAAATGGTTACCATTGTGGCTAGTTGACAAAATTTTACTAATTTTGACATGGTTTATTCTTGGTAACATTGAGAAATATGGGCTAAAAAGGCCAAAAATTGGACCTTTGGAACTCAAGAACACACAAGGGAAAACTCCTGTTTTGGACATTGGTGCATTGGAAAAAATTAGATCAAGAAAAATCAATGTTGTCCCAGGAATCAAGAGGTTTTCATGTGGCACCGTTGAGCTTGTCAATGGTGAAAAACTCGAAATCGATTCTGTTCTTCTTGCTACTGGCTATTGTAGCAATGTTCCTTTTTGGCTAAAGGTGAGAAAATGTTCTATCTAGGCTTAATACCTAAATTTACGTGTCGGTTCTTAAACAGACACCTTCACTTGGTCAAAAACACGTCTTTTCATAAATTAAAAAGACCAAGTTATACAGTGTGTGTTTGAGTATCTTCTATAAAGTTAAGGGGTCATCACTAGAAAATGGTGCAAGTACAAGTGTCAAATTGACGAGTATCGAATTAACTCTGAATTTTTCGATTCTTGAATAGTTGACTAATATATATATATATATATTTTTTTTATATAGGAAAGTGAATTCTTTTCCAAAAATGGATTCCCAAAAGCACCATTTCCAAATAGTTGGAAAGGAAAATCTGGGCTATATGCAGTTGGTTTCACAAGAAGAGGGCTATCAGGTGCTTCTGCTGATGCTATTAAAATTGCACAAGATATTACCATTGCTTACAATGAAGATATTATGCAAAAAAAAGCAAAAAAAATTTCAACCTTGTGATTTGATGTAATCATATGTAGAGATTAATTTTGTGAAAAAAAATAGGTAGCATAGATAGATTAGCCCAAGTTTTGGTATAGTTTTGGGAATTTTGTACTACGAGTTTTCAGATCTCTGTAAGAAGGTCAGGTGAAAAGTACTTGCATAAGTTGTTAGATTCTCTAGAAAAGAAAATAAGTTCTTTTTTGGAGACGCGTTGTCTGGTTGAGTTTCTCGAGGATGATGAGGTGGTCTAGTTTGTTTGTTTTTTTAACCTCTTTTACCCCTTTTTCCAACTTTGACTTTAGTGTTTACTTATGTTGATAATTTTCTACATATTTGTACAATTACTATTGATATTAATCAAAGTGACAAAGATATTCCTTTATTGTTCAAAGTAGTTTTGGTACGATTTGATTGTTCTGAATTTTTATGTTTATTTTTAATTAACTTTGGTCTAATGATATATAGGAGTGTAGTGCGTGATATGTGGATTTGACCGTATATCAACATGTCTAAACTTTAACGTCTTAAATAAATTTTTTGTATTTAAATGAAAAAGAGTAGAAGGTTGGATCCATCACATTTCAAAATGTATGTCGTTGGCCCTCAGAAATTTTTCGATTATTTAGGCTTTATGTTATAATTTGTACATTGCTAGTTGATTAATCAAAGTGACAAAGATATTATTTATTGTTCAAAGTAGTCTTGTATGATTTGATTGTTCTGAGTTTCATATTTATCCATATTACTTATTAGCACTGGGCCTAAAAAGCTTTAATCTAATGATAGGAGTACACCTGATGTGTGGATTATACACACGTTGCATGTCTGAATACTACCACAAACAAAAATTGATATTTAAGTAAGGAAAAATAGAAGTGATGACAATTATCACGCCTAATTTCAAAATACCTTGAGAATTTCTCAAATTATCAAAAAGAAATTAAATTAGCAATGATGTAGACCACAAAAATTGGGAAGTACATTATATAAGTCTCAAATATTTAAAAATAAAAATAAATAAAATGAAAAAAATTATTCACAAGTCATATTGGTGAAGCTTTGAATGAAATTTAGAAATTAACTTGAATGAAGAAAATGACTCTTCAATTTGCTCACTTTCTATGCACAATTTTCAATGCAATAAATAGAATATGATTTGCACTACAAAAAGAATGTCCTATTTCAAGTTCTTTCCAATTAGTCATATTCAGTACAGTTATGGAGTTATTGGATAGCAACCAGTCATCATTATTTACAAAAAGAAGATTTAGTTGGATACCTCCGAGGTGAATTCAGAATTTAAATCGGTTAGTAAAATAATACGAATACATTATTTAATTATTTGAGGTAATTATAAGTGTCGATTTAATAAAATATAATGTTTTAAAAATATTTTTTAATGCATATATAATTTAAGTAGAAAGAAAGAGGTATGTCGCTGCACATAATGATCAATATCGCCCACATATCATGATTATGAAGTGTTACGATAATCATATTTTTTACATCGTCAATGAATAAAACTTATGTGTTTTTTGAAAATTACTTTAGTAAAGATCACGGTATATCATATTGCGTATTATCAGACAATAGGCATAAAAAGTTCATATATAATGCACAAGTACCCTCTTAATCTATGTCTGAAATCTCAGACACATATTTATATTATACTAAGGTCCTATTATCTCATTAACTTATTTTATTAATAATTTTTTACTCCTTTTCGACCTATGTGTCACTATCTTGTGGGCCTAACACTGGTTGACTTTTTTTTCAAGCTAGTGCCACGTAGGCCGAAAGAGGGTAGAAAATTACTTATAAAATAAGTTCAGGAGGGTAATAGGACCTTAGTATAGTATAAGTTGGTGTCTCTGAGATTTCGGACATAGGTTGAAGAGGTAGTTGTGTATTTTTCCTATATTTTAAGATAGTGCCACATAGGCCTAAAATAAGTTTAGGAGATAATAGGACATTAGTATAGTATATATGTGTTTCTGGGATTTCGAGTATAGGTTGAGAGGATACTTATGTATTTTCCCTATTTTAAGTAACGCGATTATATTTTCTACAACATTAATAGACAAAACTAATTAGTACACTTAATTTTTTTTGTAAAATTATTTCTTTATGCATCATGGCATAATGATGTGACAATTGTGAAATTAAAAGAACTTATAAGAAGAAAGTTTGATCAAAACTACTTAAAAAAGAAAAGAATAAACTCATTAAATTTCTCCAATTTTCTTGAAACATACCTATAGTCAAAATAGTTGTATCATATTTTTGTATTATTATACAATATCATGGAAAATATATATAGATAGATAAATAAATATTTAACTATATGATCATATTTTCTACATAGTCAATAAACAAAGCTAAGTATACTTCTTTCTTTTTCTAAATTACTTTTATATATATCACATCCAAAATATTGTGATAAAATCGTGAAAAAGAACTTATATGGAGATAATTAATCAGAATTACTTTAAAAAGAAAAGAGTAAGCTTATTAAATTTCTCCAATTTTAATTTCTTGAATTGTACCTATAGTCAAAGTCATATCATATTGTTGTATAATTAGACGATAAAATCATGAGAAGAACTTACAAAGGGATAGTTGATTAGCATTACTTTGAAAAATAAAACAGTAAGCTAATCAAATTTCTCCAATTTTCTCGAATTTTACCCATAGTCAAAGTCGTATAATATTGTCATCAATAGATAAAACTTAATATACTTTTTTTTTCTTTGAAGTTTAATTTCATATGGATCATGCCATATCAAAAAAATAAAAATAAAAATAGACACAATCATGAAAATAACTTATAAAGGGATAGTTAGATTAAAATTTACTTCGAAGTAAGCTCATCAAAATTTCTCGAATTGTTCATATCATAATCAAAATCACTGTATAATATTGTCATATTATTAGAAAATGGCATGGAATATATATTTATATAGTTATTAAATGACACAATCATAATTATTACATTATCAATAGATAAAATTCAGTATAGACAAAATCATGAAAAGAACTTATAAAGGAGTGTTTAATCAGAACTACTTCAAAAAGAATAAAGTAAGCTTATCAAATTTCTCCAACTTTCTCGAATTGTTCATATCATAATCAAAATCATTGTATAATATTGTCATATTATTAGAAAATGGCATGGAATATATATTTATATAGTTATTAAATGACACAATCATAATTATTTCATTATCAATAGATAAAATTCAGTATAGACAAAATTCGTGAAAAGAACTTATAAAAGAAGTGTTTAATCAAAACTACTTCGAAAAGAATAAAGTAAGCTTATCAAATTTCTCCAATTTTTTCGAATTGTACCTATATAGTAGGAATAATTTGTGACAAAGAGAGTGGCATGTCAATGAAGCAACCAAAGATAAAGACCTTTGAAGAAGAAATAAATTAATTCTTAGCTAAGAATAAATAATTGAAAGTGGTCCTAAAAATATTGATTGGTAAACCAACTTGCAAAATATATGAAAAAATATATTAAACATGCATTTAAAAATAGATGGATAGGGTTTCTTCATGAAGCTGATGATCTATACTACACTATTTTTTAAATTTTTTTTTTTTTGTTATAAACTTCACAATCTCATTTACTAAATTTTGACTTATTAATTAATATTATAATAATACTAAAAATAATAATATTGTCGCACATGTACCGACTCTTGCTTTTTTTGAAACTCTTTTGACCGTTCATATTCGAAATTCATCAGTTTGATAAAGTTGTATTTGCATTGAATAGTTTTAGAGCCCTTATGGTCCATTAGGAAGAAGTGGAATTCGAAAAGATGATAAAAGAGAGTTGAGCATCTACATTTATAAGATGAAAAAGACAACTAGGCGAGTCTGAGAAGAAAAATGAATAGATTCATTATTTTTCCTACATTAGATGAGTGGAAAGCGAAATTAAGTTCATAAACAGGACATAAGACACTCCTTAATAAAAAGTATATCATTTTTTAAGCTCGAACACGTGAACACATAATCTCACATTGAGGGGTCGGAGAGGGATGCCAACGATATCTACAAGTTGTTCATTTCAAGAGAATGAAACGGTATCCTTTAATTAATGAAGGAGGAATCTCAACTACGATATCCTCGATAATTGTTAAATTTGAAAACACTTTACAATCGAATCTTCTTGTTATATCATGACATAAAAAACAACAACACCCTCAATTGAAATTTATAAATTTTCGGAAATAACCTTTAATATTTAAAATCTATGTAAAAAATTAATAAAAATCTCAGTTATTGATAATTCAAAATATTTTTTTTAAAATTGAGTATTTCGAATCAAGAAATCGTCTTGACTCACGATAAAAAAAAAAGGAAAAAAAGCTATGGCGTCGCCCGGACTCGAACCGGAGACCTTCAGTGTGTTAGACTGACGTGATAACCAACTACACCACGACACCAACTTGTCTACAATTTTGACATTTTCAATTTTATAATATAATTTTCATATTTAAGAGTCTATAAATGTTTATGAATTTTCTAACATAAATATAAGATTCGAGTCAAAATTACTGAATTGAACTCGTAATCAAATCAAAATATTAATTTACACTGGAAGTGACTTTAAAAACGAACTGAAAATGCAAGAATAAGTTGTTTATTCAGTTGTAACTTGAGTGTTATTGAGTCGTTTACGAGTTTAACTCAGTAGCTTTTGCTCGAATTATATATTTGTATCTAAAGTTAATTAATATGTACAAATAATTTTAGATAGAATACCTACATAAAATATCCCTATAAACTTGACGTGCTTTATTTAAATCCCTCCTAAATTATCAGTAGTCTTAATTATATTTTTACTATGCTTTTACATCCATAAACTTAAAATCCTAGCTCCACAGATATATTAATGCAATTATGTTAGGAGACACATTGATCATCAAGGTTTGTGTTAATTGACACGACTTCTTCATTACCATTTTTTTTTTGCTCTGGACTATTTTTTTCTTGATCGAGCCGAGAGTCTATCGAAAATAACTTATCTATCTCCAAAATAAAAGTAAAATATGTGTAAACTATATCCTTCCAAATCTCAACCGGTAGAATTACACCAAATATATTATTTGTGTAATTGCATTTGTATATTCGTATTGCCTTAAAAACACATACTATTATTTAAGTAGCAAGTAGAAAAAATGGGAAAAACATCACACATAGAAAGAAATAATTATCAATTTATTAAATAATTACCAAAGAGTGGAAAAAATTCTACCATGGATTTACATAACTATATTTTAAAAAATCGTGTGTATACATGATATGAATCGAAAATAATGAATTTAATTGAACTTATAAAATCCATTCTGAACCCATTTTCAATACATAAGAAAA